ATACATCTGACTAAGAGGACTTTGCTGTATTGGTTGCTGGGGTAGCTCTGAAATCTTCAGGAGCTGGGCATCCTCTTTCGACCTTGGACCACCCTGAGGAAACTATGACTATTATGAATGCACTGGCACTGGCGAATTAAAGACCAGCGGACTTCATCTAGCTGACGAAACCGACTTTGTAGGTGGTACAACAACTAATGGTGTCATCCCTGATGGTTAACTCAGCATTTGTGAAACAGAACACTGGATGGTCATTGAGATAACAATATTCACTTTTGTCGTGTCCAATTTGAATGATGTGTGACCACCTCAAGAAAACACTGCCAGAACTGTACCCACTTCTAATGGGACTACTATATCTCATACTCAAAGAAGTTTCCAGAACAAAAACCAATCTAATGGTTAGCTGAAGGACCAGGATCAAGGTGCAGGGTATGAAACCTGCTTGTAACCACAATTACCACTTGTCGAGTAGCTATCCATACTACGATGATGGTGATGAAGGAGACGCCTCCAGTTCAAGTTAGTGCTAATGAAACAAGTGCCAGTGAAACTTGAGGTAAAGTATGGAGCCTCCACCTCAATGTTAGTTGAGTCACCATCCCCCAAGAGGCTCCACACACCACTACAATGTCATCCAAGGGCCAAACTACTCACAAAACTTCTGATGTACATCAAATGTGACTGACACTGCAGCAGATACAATATTAAGGCAGCACTACTATGAAGTAATGGTGAAATGGATAGAGGCCTGGGCCTGATTCAACCGAAAAAAGATAAGTTATGTTGGAGGGATTGTTCCACCCTCCAAACATGAACAAGTTTACTAACTACATGTAGAGCAGCCACAGATTAAAAATGCCTTGGTCTGTGCCAGAGAGGTTATTAGTACCACTTCAGTAGCCATTGATCAACTGCTGCTTTAGAGGGTCTGCTGCCGGGATGGAGTTGAGGAGATCTTGGTTTTGTGTTTGCTGTTAGGTAGGAGAATATACTGTATAGTTTATGCTTCTTTGATTAAATTTGAAAGTGTTGTAAATATTATATACCTCTACATATTTAGGTGGTATGTATTATTTTCAACGTGTTCTATTATTAGTTAGTCTTGTATATATACGTGTAGCACTTCGTCTTTCTTGTATTGTAGTTTATCTATCATTTTAAAAGGTTTTTTCTATACTAAATGACTTACATGATAAAGGGGTATTGTAGTTTTCACTAAGAACGTTTAATTTTCATTTAATTTCTTTTCATTTTCTTGAGTGCTCCGGTGGGTCATTTGTAAATTTACAGACCAACAATACTAAAATCTCGGGTTCGATTCCCCGCACTGGACAGAGAACAAAAAGCTCATTGTGCTGTTTTGCATCAAAAACCATCAACAACAATGTTTCCTTGATTTAACGTGTTTTACTTTTGCAAAAGGTTTTTCTTCTAATGTGTGTGAATTTCAGTATATTTTAGGTTCGGTTTACCATTAAATCTCAGATAAATATGTTTTCCTTTTAGTCTGTTGCGTTACGTTATTATTATAATGTTCATCATTGTAAAGGATATTTATATTCATATCTTAATTAGAGGACCAAATTCATGATTTTTAATATTTTTGTTAAAGATTTGGTGTTTTATTATGTATTGCAGACGGTGCGTATTTTCTGTAATAAAATGTGATTTAATCTCTTGACTATTGTAATTTAAAGATAATTTTTGAAACTTTTATAGTGTATTTCATTAGTAGACGGTTCATTTTGTGTGTTATTGTCATGTTTTGAGTGTAATTATTGCAAAGGTTGCAATAAAGGATTTTGGTTTTGTATTTAAAAAAGATTCTTGATGTTTTTTCATGTAGTTATACTGTATTGTATGTATTATTTACTTGTTAAAGGATATTTGTCTGTGTAGTGTGGTATAACTTCTGTGCTGTCTTTCAAAGCTGCGGTATGTCTGCGGACTTACAACGCTAGAAACCGGGTTTCAATGCCCGTGGTGGACAGAGCACAAATAGTCCATTGTATAGTTTGTGCTTAAACTACAAACAAACAAATTATCAAAGCTAAAGGGGTTTTATTTTTGTATTCTGGTATATTATGTTCTTGTTCAAAGGTTGAAACTTCTGTGTGGTATGTAAGTGTTTTTGGAAGAGAGAAGGGGTTAACACATTTCTCGACCAGCATGATTTTAAAGTTTATTGGTAGTAAATTAAAGTTTAATTCCAGCTTGAAACAAACCGAATAAGGCAAGACATGAAAATATAGTATTTGAACATACCATGTGTTTTTATTTTTTGTATTTGTGATATGCAAGAAAGCATATCATTTATTTTGTACCTGCTTTTATTAATATAGGAGTTATTAAAAAAAACTTACTTTTGTTAATTTTCATGTACTTTTGGCATAAACATGTGTTCAAGAAATCCATTGAAGTTGCCGTGTTCTAACTGCCTTTGTGTCTTTGTTCTCTATAGCAGGTAATATCTACCATACCAAAGGGTGCAACTGTACATCTGTGTTGAAAAGGTCATTAACTGCAATGTACTTTCTTAGCCGCGTGAATGATATGTGTGTATGTCACAGCCAATGACAGTTCATCTGGTGATGCTATTTCAACACACACACACACAAAGGAGCCAATGTTTTTTGTATCAACATGGAGCATTAGCTGTACACAGTTCTATTTCGTTATCATCCAGGTTGGTTTATGGAGACCTGTTTTAGAGAACGAGAGGTGCTGATTGAAACACTGGTTCAGTAGAGACGATTATCTATTTGTTCAAACAAATGTATACGTTGTTTTTTGTATCATAATTAAAAATTGTTTCACTTAATATCACATTTGTCGAGTTTGTATATTTCTCACAAGGCTTAAAACTTATTCGAGTTTTCAAATTCAGAGTATTCTAAAATTCATGTTTGGTTCTTCTGTTATTAAGTGGATAGGGTTGTAATGTTTATTCTGAATTTATTCTTTGCTCTGAATATATGCAGGTTTCACAAAACACATGATCGAGAAAACTGCTAAGTCTTGTTTCAAGTTGCCTTTGGTTCTTTGTTATTCTAGAATTATGTACTACCTGTTATACCGTCCATAGGGATAACTGCTTAGTGCGACCTGGTGTAAATATATTGACAGCAGTGTCCCTCAACGATTGTTCATGTAATATCTAGAGATACGGCCCCATCAATTTATCATGAGAATGACCAGTCACGTGTTAGCGCTAGTCGCACTGGGAAAATGCGAGGTTTCTTGCATGGTAAGGAACGTTACATATAGTCAGTCGTGTTTAGGATATCTCTTGACTTGATCTAATTAGTTAAGATAGTTTAGCAGTGATAGACTAGAGGGAAGACAACTAGCCAACACCGCCTGCTCTTGAGCTACTCTCTTGCCAAAGAAAAGTGAGATTGACTGTCACATATAATGCTCCCATAGTTGAAAGAGCATGTTAGGTGTAACGGGTTTTCGAACCTCCAACCTTCAAATTGCGAGTCGAGCTTCCTAACCACCAGGCCAGACCAGAAAGATGGAGAAGAAAGCTACTCGAGGGCTATCTGAGCTATCCGTCTCTAATTTAGCAATTACAGATTAGACGGGCTAGCCAACACCACCCTAAGCTTACTCTTGGATAACTTTCTTGCCAACGAAAAGTGGGATTGACTGTCACATCATAACTCACCCACTGTTGAAATAGTGAATATGTTCGGTGACAGGATTCGAACTTATGAACCGCAAGTTGCGAGTCGAGCGCCCTAACCACCATCTCATGACAGGCAAGTTAAGTGAGGCTTCGCAGTAGTTATAAATTTTAAAGCAGATTTATTGTTTTATTTTTGACTTATATTTTAGTATACAGTGTATTTGACATAAGTATTTTTATTATTTCAAACTCCTATCATAGACCAGCAGTATATCTGATGACTTACAATGCTTAGAATTAAGTTTTGATACCCACGGCGAGCAGATCACAAATACCAATTGTGTAGCTTTGTGCTTCACAACAAACAAATTATTACACATGCTTTCGTATCATATTACCAAACTAATACATAATTAAGAAAAGATTTATAAATTAAAACTTAGAAAAAAATTAAATGCTTATCGCAATGATAACAATTTCTGGAATTAAAACCACGAAATTTCAGAATAATTCGTCAAGAGTTCTCCATATTTCAAGCTTTAACAGACTCAAATGATTCAATAAAGTGCTTTCAATGCCACAAAAAGACAAAAGTATTATCAATTCATTTTCCAGTTTCTAATTTACCTGTTGATATATTAACCAAATCTAATAATAATAGTAATTAACAACTTATTTTATTTTATAGTATTTAATGTAGGTATAACGATAAAGTATCCAACTATTTTATAAAATATTACTTTTAATGAATAAGTAAACTAAAAACGAAACTATTTTTCTTCTTCTTTAAAGTTCTTAGTAGTGGAAAGAGTTTTCTTTACCCTTGAAATACCTCGTCTCTGATAAGTAATATCTCCAGTGGCTCAGTGGTAAGTCTGAAAGCTTATAATGCTAAAATCCGGGTATTGATACCCGTGATTGGCACAATACAAATAGTCCATTGTGTAACTTTGCGCTTAACAACAAACTAACTGACTAATAAATTGTAGGTTTGTTATTTCTATTAATGAATTTACTTTAGTTATGTAAACCAAATATTTGGTTTAATATTTATATAACAAATAGTTCTGGCTTGTTTTTTTTGTTGAGTGCAAATTAGTTATATATATCTTAGATCTTTAAGGCAAAAGAAACGGAGCAGAAAGTTAAAGAAATGATGGTTTGAAAACTACTCAGAAGTTCACTTACTATAACGTTAAATTTGTATATGCTCCCTCTAGAAAATACTGTTCGGCCGGGGAAAAGAAAAGGGGTCTCAAAAGTAATAAAACGGACTAGTGTTGCGATGTTGGAGATGAATTCCCTTGTTGTAGGCTTAGTGTAACAGCATTTGGATGGTGAGAATAAGTACAAAATTTGTGTAGCATAGAGTATTCTCCAGATTAACATATTTTGAAACATAAAACTTAACAGCTATTTTTCTTTGATGAAAATAGAAATAGTTTCTACTTTTTGCTCTAATAATTTTTGTTTCGGCTTAAGTTACTAAAATTTAGGTGTAAGCTTTAAAATTAAACGTGAATTCTATCTGTCAAGTAAGTGAACTGAGCTAGGTTAAGTATTAAACATTTTCAAAGTAGGTATGTTGTGCATTTGTGCTAAGCCTAACATTGCAATACATTAAGAGCTTAAACGTGAATCATATTATAAGTTATACTGCTGTTACCAATTAGAAATTACAGTTTTTGTTTTGTTTTTATATGTTTATGTTTTCAGTTCATAGATCCGAAGTTGTATTGCTTCTTATTTACTGACTGTAATAGTGTAAGTTGTTATATTAGTGCTTAGAATTAGATAAAATGTGTAAGTTATCACTTCGCTACTATAACTACAACTTGTAGTAGAAGTCTGGTTAGGCCTAACTTTCTTTGTAAGCAGCTTAAACTTTTATTAATTAGGCTTAAGGGTATTTAGGTTTAATATTAATGTATTTATATAGGCATTTCTTTATTTTTTTGATAAAAACTAAAGAAGTGAACTGAAAATTGGCATAGTGGTAGAAAGTAAAAAGTGATATTGAGAAAAGTAAAATTTAAACCCACCCTTTATTTTTCAGAAAATTGTATATTTTGCCACTTTAAAGTTTAAGTTTAAATTCTGTTTAACTTTAAATAATCCACACTACAGTTTGAATTAGTGAGTGTAACATGACTTGAGCTATAAATCAAACTTATTGATAAGTTATAAGACAGGCTTAATCAATTAAAATGTATTGTATGATAACAGATATAGTCTAGGTGTTTGTCACTTCTTATTTTCAAGATAAAATTGATTAGTTTAGTGAAAAGATAAGATGGTGATAAATAATGTAATATATTTAAATCTTATTTTAGGATAACTGTTGTCAATAGGCTATTTCAAGTACTTGTACTTAGCATCGATTATTTATTTCAAGGCTATGTTGGTGAAGAATAGTGTAGGTGTTTACAGTTTGTAAGGTGCAGTAGTAGTATTAGTGGATTTAATTATAAAGAACAGGTTCTCTTGAGTAATAGGTTTCAGCCTTTAGCTTGTACAAATGAATTAGAGGAGGGAAGGTAAACAAAAAATGGAGATGGGAATGAAGAAAGATGGTTATTGTTATAGGTGTTTTTTTTAGTATGTCACATGGCTATAATAATCTGTGAGGTAAATAGGGAGAAAAGAATTGTACTATGAAGGGGTAAGGGTAAAGAATATATATGATAGAGTTTGTGATATACTCATATAATAAAGAGTGCTAGCACTGTTGTAGTCTTTGTAGTGCACATAGGAGCTGATGGTCTAGGGTAGGAGGAGTTAATTGTAAAGTAAAAGGCATTCAAAGAAAAGGATCATAATGATTTAATTCTGTTCGGGATACTACCAATACTTAACTTTGGGGGTGAAATTATAAGTAGGTCACTAGGTGAATGCTAGGCTTAGGCTAATATTTAAAGATGAGAGTGTTGCTAGGATGGATTTGTGGGATCAGTTCAAAGGAAAAAGGGAGCTATTTGGAATGGATGGGTTACATTTAAATAGGGTAGGGACTGGCTTGTTTGCAACTGTAAGTGCAGCTTTAACTTAGCACTAGACAGTGGTGAGGGCCAGAATAATAAAATAAAAATATGATGTAGGGAAAGGTATAGTGTAGGAACAAAGTACAAAGGTATTGGTAGGCTAAACTTGCTTGAAGTATAAGAAATAAATTGGGTGACTTTAGAGCACTGGTCAAAATAGAGGACTATGATATAATGGAAATTCCAGGACTGTCTTTGAAATGCAGGGTTGCAGGTTGTTTGTAGGGATAGGGTACTAAAAAGAGAGGGAGGTGTGGCTTTATATGCCAAATGCGAGTTACATCCTGCCCAAGTTGATATCAAAGCTAGTAGCATTGAGGTTGCATTTGTGTGGGTTTCTGTTAGTGGTTATAATGGAAGAAGGTTGTTACTTGGAATTAGTTACAGCCCATTAAATGAAATTGGTGAAATTAATGAGCAACTCTACAATGAGATAAAGAATTCGACTGTTAATAAGGTTGTAATTATAGGTGATTTTCTTCACCAATTGGTTAGGGACTCTACTGGGACTGTTATTTTAGATTAACTTTTAACATAGAAAGGGTTGATAGGATGGAGATTGGAAAACATCTAGGTGCAAGTGGTTTATTGTTCAATTAGGCTTGATGTTTTGCTGTATGTGGAGATAAGGAATAATTATATTTTGGTTCCAAATTTATAAAATTTGAAATGAATAATACAAGAATTATTCACTTTGAATTGAGCAACTGAATTGTTTGGAGATGCTGATGTTATTTGGAAAAATTTTGAATTTCTTAATTATTTAACAAAGGCGTGTTTCCTATAGAAAAGGGTGGCTGCAAGTGAAAAACCTGGTTGGCTCACAAAGGGTATAAAAGATAGTATTAAAAAAAGTATTATATATTCAAGAAGTTTACTGACTGCAAGATATTTAAAAGATTACAGAAGATCAAGTGAGTTGACCAAACACAGAGTTAGGAGATAGTGTTTGAAAAAAGGTTGGCTGAATATGTAAAAATCAATAGTAAGGATTTTTTTAAATATATTAATGGTAAGCAAGATGTAAGATAGAAGTAGGGCCTTTAAGGGTTGATACCTGATGATTATGGAATGGTTGGTTATTAAATTTGTTTTTTTAGTTTTCATTAATGATTTAAGCAATATTTCATATCCTGAGCACTTTCAAGATGGAAACAATTGAACAAGATGATCACATTAATTCTGAGCTTGTTAAGAAAAATTGGGAAGTTTAAAGAATGATAAAGCTCTTTTAACCAAGTGTTTTGAAGGAGGTTAAGGATTGGATACGAGAGCCATTTGCTATTATATTTTTCTTTGTCTTTGAATTGTGGACAAGTGCTAGGGGATTAAAAGTTGACTAATATTACTTTTTTCAAGACAGGTGATAAAAATTGTTCCAGTAATTATAGGCCTGTAAGTCTTACATCAGTGGTGGGAAAAGTTTTTGAAAATTGATAAAAGATGCTTTGTAAAATCATTTAACAAAGTTTAAAATTTTGTTGAATAGCATAGTTTCAATAGAATATCTTGCCTTACAAATCTTTTGACATTCTTTGAAAAGGTTACTGCTTATGGAGATGAAGGTAAGAATGTAGATTTGATGTATCTGTATTTTCAGAAAGCATTTGACAAGGTGCCACATAAAAGGCTTGTTTAAAAAGTTCTGTAGGGGTATGATATAGATTGGCTCATCAGGTAGAAAACTGGGTGGATGGAAGAAAGTAGAGGGGTTGTTACAAATGGAATTCAGTCAAACTGGATTAATGTCGTAAATGGGGTACCTCAGGGCTCAGTTTTAGGACTTTTACTCTTTTTGATTTATGTGAATGACATAGATGAAGGAATGGTCAATAGATTATTTAAATTTGCTGATAATATTAAGGTTAAAGGTTTTGCTGGCTGTGCTTTACAAAATGATTTGGATTAATCGGGAGTTGTGTAAATAAATGACAGATGGCTTTTAATTATAGTAAATGCAAGGTAATGCATGTTGGATATACAATTTGAATTATGAGTATAATTTTGATGGGAATAACCTAGCAGTGTTATGGAAGAAAAAGATCTTTATATTCTTGTTGATCAGTCTCTTAAGCCATCCAAGCAATATGCTGTTGCAAGTGGCCATGCTAATTGGATTTTAGGTGATATTAACCAAGGTGTTGAATACAAGTCTAAAGAGGATATAATGTCATTGTTAGTACTATGTTCATTCTTAGGCTCCTTGCCTTAGAAAGGACATTGAATTGTTGGAAGGGGTTCAGGGGAACCTACTAGGATAATACCAGGTATGGAAAAGTCATAAAAACATAGGTTAAGAACCCTGAACTTGTTTTTTTCTTGAAGAAGGAAGAGTAACAGAGGATATGATTGCAGTGTTTAGGATTAAGGTTTTTGATAGTGTGGATGCATCATCTTTTTTCATGTTTAATGTTGGGAATTGTAAGATTAGGGGACACAGATATACATTTTGGCAGGGTAGGAGCCTTCTTCAGTTAACACAGCTTAATTTTTCTAACAGGGAGATTTCCAGTTTTAAAAACTGTTTTAACTGCCTAGCTTTTCTGTTCCAAACAAGAATATACATTTATTTTCAGTCTAGTGACAGCTTTGCTTTAGATAAACAAAATCGTTTGAAACCTCGTGTAACGTGAAAGAGGCAAGCTTATATAATTGCCCAAGAAAATAATTTTTGTGCATGCTTTGCAAACAGTCGTTTTTTTAATACAGATTTTGGGGTTTGTTATTCATAGATGTATCCATTTTGAACATATTCCTTTGCTCCTCTCTTCTGTTAACTTATGCTCAGTCTGCAGGACTGAGTATTGGTCTGTATGTGTAGATATAAAGTAAGCAGTTTATTTTGCAGCTAACTGGACCTTGAATTAGGAGTATAATTATGATGGGGGAATACCTGTAACAGTGTTAATGAAGATAAGGATCTTGTTGTTTTAGCTGATCAGTCCCTTAAATCATCCAAGCAATGTGCTGTTGATATTGGCAGGGCAAATAGAACTTTAGGTTATATCTACAGAAATATTGAATACAAGCTTAAAGAGTTTATAATTTATTGTATAGCCCATTAGTTTGTAATATTTTATTCAGTCTTGGGCTCGTTACCTTTAGGAAGGACATTGAACTGTGGGAAAGGGGTTCAGAGGAGGGCTACTGCGATGGTACCTGAGATGGAAAGATCATATAAGGATAGGTTAAGATTTCTGAAAATTTCTCTTGAAAAAAAAAGTTAGGGGGTGTTTAAGATTGTTAAGGGAGTTGATAGTGTTGGTGCATCATCTTTTTTTTGTAATGCTGAGAAAGGTAAGACAAGGGAACACATTAATTTTATTTTTTTAACTTTCAGGTGTGGTGGATGCAGTTAATTTAAGGGAGTTTAAGGGAAGGCTTGATAAATATTTGATAAGGGCTTGTTTTGAATGCTATATTTTCTTAAAAGCTTAGTAGATGGGGTGGCCTAGATGGACCAACAGGTCTCTTGTTGTCCTTAAATTATATAT